GATGTTTAAATGTGTTGCTTTCAGTCTCCCTACCCTACATCCCATCTCAGATGAAGGGGCAGGAAGGAGCAGTCCTCCAGACCCTATAATACGCAGCAAGAAGGAACGGGTTGGGACTCCCTGAGGTCCCAGCACACACACAGATGGAGAATTAAAAGCTGATAAACCTCCATACTGGGGATGTGAACAAGTAGTTGAATAGTCAGCTTTGAAGTAGTCGACTTTAAAAATTCAGAGTGACAACGAGGATAGGGAGGCTTGTGCTGAGAGACCCACCGGACCAGCTGCTGCTGCTCTGTCCCTTTCAGAATGCAGAATTGCAGTGGTGGGGGAGGGCTATCCTGAGACCTTGCTGGGGACCAGAGACTGAGTCTTTTCATGCCAGCTTCTCTCTGTCCCTTTAAGAGTGCAGAGTGGTACCCGGGAGTTGTTAAGACCCAGCGTGAGCCGGAAGTGAGCACTTTAAGTGCCGTTCCTTAATGACTAGTCAAGTCGTTGATGGAAATTCCATCGACTATTCAACTAGCAAATCAATCGCTGCTTAACATCCCTACTCCATACCACCTGTCCTCTATCATGTCTTTTCTAAATGAGATTTTCTAACCTAACTAGAAATTGTGGGCTTGATGCAAGAAATACTGAGTGAAATTCTGTCCTGTGTTAATGTGAGTAGTAGGATTATATGATCATAACAGTCCTTTCTGGCCTTGAAAATCTATGAATTATGGTTTGGCAATTCAGCAAGGCATGTAAGCTTGTGCTTAAGAGACCCATTGATTTTGCTAGGAATGAAGCAGAAGTGTTCCTGAATTAAAGCCCAAATGCAGAAAATGCTTTTGTTAGGATCATAAATAAAAAGAACTAGTGGATCCAGAGTGTTGTGTTGTGTTGGGCTGTGTGTGATACATATGAGGGAAAGGCATTAATGCAAATAGCTTTTAAAACAAGAATAGTTCTTTGAGTGCTTGCTTATTTCAATTCCATTCTAGGGGTGTGTGCACTCATGCACCTTTGCTGGAGATACTTGCATTTGCGGTATCCATAGGACCAGCTGTGGTGCCCTATGGCATGCTGCACTCATAGTGCTGTATATCCAGTGCTGCCAGCCCTGTTTCCTCTTAGTTCTTCTTATCGTCATTGGTGGTCAGTTGGACACACTCTATCCCTTGTTTCACAAGCACTTGTACTTCTAGTTGTAAATAGCTCTGTTCCTTAGTTGGTGTTCATCTGTGGCTCTGAGCAGAGAAGTTGTCCCAGGAGGAAGAATTTTTGTCCTCGGATGCAGAGGGAATGCGACATACAATCTGTGTCCAGCTTCAGAGCCAGGTTGGTCTGAAATGCCCAAGTTCTGGGTGCTTTTGCGTAGTGTACCCTTGGGCACTGCTCTCCTCCTGTCACCAGTAACCATTGCGGGTGCCAAACAAGCCGAAGATGACATCACTGAGTAAGCCAGATAAAGGTATTCTGGGCAAAGGACCCTGTTTAGACTTTTTGCTCATTCTCTACTCACAAATGGGCCTGCCCTGGGGAGTTAATCCCCTGAAAAGACCTGACTCTAGGGAGGGAGCAGTAAAAGGTCCAAGTCAACGGCTCATTTGATGACCTCTCAGCACCTGCAAAGCCAGGAGAGCTCCCACTGCAGTCAGCACTACATTTGGCAATGGAACTGGCTATGGCTCCTAAGGGCAAGCCTGCCTGCAAGGCCTTACACAAGACAAGTGAGCACCACTAGTCTCTGGAACCAAGACGGAGCCCTAAGTTGCCCCATTCTTGGTCGCCACATCAGCTCAGGTCTCTGGCCCATAGTTATCAATCATCAGTACTGCATTCTCAATTCCCGTCCTTTCCCAAGGATCACCTAGACTGGGGCTACTCAACCTCGGAAACCCTGGGGGTACAATGATACAGCACAGGCCGAGGGCCGCAACTTAAGTGTGGTTGCATGTACATCCCTAAGGGCTAGAAACACCAACACCCTGTACCAGTCTCTTCCAGCAAGCCTGTCTGTTTGTCTTTCAGTGCTTACCCTGCCTGGGAGACACCTCACGATTGTGGAGCATGTTCACAGTGGAGGCCCATATTCAAAAGATCCCACTTGTGGGCTGTGTTGAATACCCCAATCTAGACCAGGGCTACTCAACTTCGGAAGCTCTGGAGGCCACAATGATACTCAAAGCACATGCCAAGGGCCGCAACTTAAGTGTGGCTGCATATACATGCAAATATATATGCAAATAGCTTCTTTCACAGTGATGGGCATGAATATAAAAACTAAGACAAGACTACACAACATACAGGCTCCATTTAAGTCAATTCTGCTGATATTAATAAAATATAATATTTACCTGATTTCCACCCATATGACAGCGCTTTTAATGAGCAATGACAGTCCAGGAATTTAACTACTAAAACGCATATCAACAGAAGACCCATTATATTGACTACTTTCTTGATTCAGCTCCCGGCCACATGTTGAGCCCCATGTAAACCCAAGCTTCACTGCAGGCCACAAACAAACGGGCCACGGATGACCTGCGGGCCACATGCTGAATAGCCCTGATGTAGGCAGGCTCCTCTGCACCAATCCTCATCCTGTCGCCAAGTGCTAAGACTTCCAAGGCTGCTTCCTGATATGATGCCATTCACTCTACTCCCCACATCAGTCAGAACGTTCTTATCCAGTAAGAATACTCCCTGCACTGGGCATTGGTGGCAACCGTTTGCTACCAGACTAAGTGGTAATGGTCTCACTAGGGTCACCAGAGGGCAATGATGCCTCTGTTTCAGAGGCACTGTTCAGTCCCTCACATAGACAGCAACAGGCCTGAGCTCTGGCGTACGTGTCAGTGACTCCAGTGCCAGCTTGGCAGCAGTGGTCTTATTGGAATATTTGGGAGTGGAGGGGTTGTCACCATTGCCCCACTTCTGTCAGCACTCAGTTGCCACATCAGGCTGAAATTACCTGTGGCTGTGTTGGCCATGGGTTCAGTGCAGGATACTTCAGTGGCTATCATGGGTGAGGAGCCAATGCTCACCCCCAAGGCTACCCTCCCTGGCATGTGAGGACACCATCAGATCTCGCCTAATGATTCAGTCCCTTTCCCCCTCCTCCTCTGTGGATGAAATGGTGGCGGGCACCTCAGGCTAGCCCGCTGGACAACTTCAAATCACATCAGTCGCTGCTCCATATGGTAGCTTTGGACTTGGGCCTCAAGTCAGAGGAGATAGAAGAGCAGATGGACACATTAAACAGTGTGTTCTCAGCATTCACCGTGACCTTTGTCACACTCCCAGTGCACAAGGGAATCCTGAATATTCCCAAGTGCATCTGGCAAAACTCTATCCTCTCACCCCTGTCTGAGGCCGGAGAAAATGTACTTCATCCCCACACAAGAGTTTGAGTACTTACCCACCTGCCACTGGGATCAAGTTGTTGCAGTTGTTTGTCACAGAAAGGATGAAAGATTACCAAGTATTTGCTCAAAGAATATTATCATGGCTCATGGCTTGTATTCACTACAGCTATGAGCTAGCAAAAGTGCCCCTACTGCTGATAGTGACAGCTGACTTGACTAGGGTACTGGTATTCTTGGCAGACTTCCCCTCACTCAGGTGCCAGTCCAAGACATTTGTCAGGCTGTGACCCAGTTGTCCATCCATGAATTTGTTTCACATTATATGTGGACCTAGCAAGCTTGAAATGACACTGACTTCAGCAAAGCAGTGCTTCAATCTGCAAGTCTGTAAACTCCAAGCCTACCTTCCAGGATTCTGTTATTAGAGAGTCACCTATAATGTAATCGATAAGAGCAAGCACTCAAAGAGCTACTTAACTTTCATAACTAATGGTTCTTTGAGATCCATTCCATTACTCTCCTATCTATTCTTTAGAGTTATCAAGAAAGAACTGGGATAGAACCTGTGGTGCCTGATAAGTGCTGTGCTTATGCCAGGATATAAGGGAATGCAGTAGCTGGCTGTACGGATACTACTAAAATATAAATCTCCAGTTACTGCACACGTGGGCATGAACACACTTAGAATGGAATGGACATGAGCAACACATCTTGAAGAACAACAGTTGCTAAAGATAGGCGGCATAATTATTTTTAATAAAGTAAAGTTTCTATTGTACAAAGGCAAAAAAAACCCTATTAAATTAAATTAAATACTTGACTCTTTCCAACAACTGAAAAAGTTGTCTATGTATAATTCCAGATTTACAAATAATAATCCTCTATGTAATCTTGGAAGTATGCCACTTACCAGCAAACAAAAACAAAACAAAAAACTCTCCTTTTTCCTCACTCTCCTCAGAGATCCATATATCAAGATGCTCGGGGCAATTCTTCATCTCAGAAGACGACCTTGATAAAGAGATTCATTTATTTCATTATGCCCAGAAGGTGGAAAGACTGGGCTTTTCCTAATAACCAGATGCAGTGAGTTAGATACCTAAGGGCCCTCTGTTTAGTGCCCTGTCCCTAGCTAAATTCATCCTACATACTGTTAGCTGAAGATTCCTTTCTGAGATAGTAACTCATATTCGTGTGGAGACAAGTAGCCTAAGAACCAGGCAGCAGCTCACTCAGGGTCTTTCTGCTGCAGATCTTGTTTATCTTCCACTGTAAATTAAGATAAAATTATAGCATTGTTTGTTCTGATTTACCACCCATTGGCTAGAGTGATAAAATTAGTTTTGGATCTCTTGCATTGAAATCCTGACACTGCTTTTGAACTCACATGCAAAACTGAATTAATATAGTTCTACCACCTTCTGGTCTTGACTTTAATACCATCTTTTCTCTGTAGCGCTTTTGTAGTAATGTCTACTTTCTAAATAAAATATCTAAGTCCAGTATGATGCTGAGAGAATGAAAAGGGGTAAATATTAAATGCATAAGAAGTAAAAAGAGCCAACTGTTTAGATGACTTGATATCACCTTTCAGCAGAAGATCTGAGAGTATGATGTATTGAAAAATATCCCTTTGTTTTTTAGAGGGTTGTGGCTGATAAACAGGAAAAACGAAATCAGGAGCGCCTGAAACGCAGAGAGGAAAGGGAAAAAGAAGAAAGGGAGAAGCTGAGGAGGTAGCGATTTGCTTTATTTTTGGTAGCATATATTTAATAGCCATTTTTAGAATATATTAACACTGAATTTTGTTTACATGTGTATTTATGCATGGTGACACAACAGACTGCATTTGCTGAACATTCTATATGAATTGAAAATTATTTGCTATTTGACAGCTTTTCTCAAGCCTATAACTCCTTGTTTCTATTAGAACGCTCTTCTATATAACTAATGGATATAACTGGGTGAATATACACATGAATAAATATTGACTTTTCAGTGTGATTTCAGACATGTACATTTCTGAGAATTAACAAATTATACATTAGGTGTTTTTTAGGGAAAATATAGATTGGAAAGCATCAGCAACACTCAAACCAGAACTCAAAAAGAGGTTGAGAATATGATTAGACAGTAGGAGTACTTCTGAATCTTCTTAGTGAACTACATGATCTTTGTTTCTAGGAATTTAAATAGTCTGCATGTGCACTGCTGTTTTGTGTGCATTTTGTTGTGGACTTAAGTCCACAAAGGCATGCTACAGCATCATTGATGAGCTCACATCTCAACTGTGAAATGCATCTATAGTCAGGTGTTCAGTGCATCAGAAACATTTGGACAGATCAGTATAGCCTGGGAAAAATTTCTCTAAAGAGATTGTAACTTACCTTTTAAAAAGAGCCTTTATCTTAACTGTTTCAGAGAACTATAATGGTAAATAATCAATACTTTAGCTTGTTCTCATTAATCTTTATAATATTCTGCATTTTCTGATTGTGATTGTTTGTGTAACACAAGCTGATCTCCATTTATTTCAGGTCCAGATCCCATAGCAAGAATCCCAGAAGGTATATAATTTCCCGGGGGGGTGGGGAAGCAGTGGCGAGGCTGGAGCTCCTGGCCCAAGGAAGGCAATGGCTTCTTCCCCATTGGAGCAGCAGGGAAAGTCTCTAATGCCTGGGAGTGGCTATGGCACAGAAAGTGACCCCCCAGCTCCTCATGCCTAGCTCATGCACCCCCTCTGTCACCGCACCCTCAGCCTGCTCCTGCCCCCTCCCCCTCCCCCTCGGCCAGACAACCTGCCCACTCGGGGCCTAGCCCCCATCTGGCCACAGCGTCCTGGCCCTGATCCTGGTGCAGGCTCCGTGGTCCAGCCCCCATCTGGCTGCATGAAGGGCTGGTGGCAG